AACTAAAAAGGCTGTGAGTCCTTTCCTAGAAACTGGGAAAGTTTCATTTGTATCTTGGAGAAATGAAAACAGTGAAAATTTAATTTAGTGAAAGCCAAAAGGAGTCTGTTTCAAAGACATTTTGCTGCATATCTCAATCTGGAATTATTTTGCTTGTTTCACAGCCACTATCTTGGATGATGGCTACAGCAAAGTGATTAAATAACATGATACTAAAACCAAAATAGGAAGCTAACATTTGCTAAAACTTACCATAGAATTTTCGTTTTTAAGTGCTGCAAGTGGCTCCTGCTTTTCATAATTTTATCTCCTAGCAGTTGTCTCTTTTTTTTTTTTTTTTTTTTTTTCTCAGAGGTCTTCCTCTCCTATGACAATTTCTGGACAGCAGACTTTCCCATTGTAATTTTGAATGGCCATATGCCTGATGGTACAATAACATTTTCTCTTCTGATTATTTGTAAAAGTTCAAATCCATTTCTGCTGTATGAAGTTATCTACTTACTTGAGTAAAATGGTTGCATTTAAAAAAAAAAAATTGTTTTCTGATATCCCACTTCTATTCTGATTAAATTCAGGTACATTTAAGTTAGCTATTTCTGCTGTATTCCTTTAGCTTTCATGTTGCATTTTGGGAGGGCATTATTTACTGTTATATTATAAAGTATTTTATTTAATACAGTAGAGACTTCATAAATTACAACATTATAATTATTTCATTGAATGATCCAGCCAGTTGCACAGATAAAGATTTCTATGGAGGTGTCACAATCTACCTATGATTTCTACAGAATTTTACTTGTTTTTATTCTCTACAAAATTCATTTACAGTCAATACTGTAAATGAATACAATAGTGGGTTTAATGTTTTGGGTGGGTTTTTGGTTTTGTTTTTGGGTTTAGTGGTTTTAGTTATACGCAAATTTTGTGGCTTCTCTAACAAATGTTAGGACCGTGCTGGAAAAAGCACTTAGGGTTCTTAATGTTAGAGTCTGGCAGAATTTAGGAGCCTGAGTTTAAAAATGAAATCTGTAATACTCTGCCTAATTTCTTGGATGCATGAAGGTGTTGGTAAACAAGTAACTTTGCCACTAAAAACTTTCAATATCTGAAGTTTTGTGAAATGGCCTTCCCACTAAGGACCTCATCGTGGATGAACTGAACATCTTGCTGCCTGTCTCATGTCTGGGCTCAAAGATGAAGCACCCATGTGCCTAAGCGTGGGAGGGATTGGGAACCGGTAGACCAGTTCAGTGCGTGACAGGAGCTGACTGCTTACTGTGAAAATGCCTAGGCTTCTTTGCTGAGCTAGGCCTGGCTTCTTGATCTTAGTCACAGTAATTACATCGCAGAAACTAAAACCTGAAGTAGAGATGATATAAAAAGGAACTGATCTTATCATTGAATTGCACTCATGCACTGTTGCTGTAGAGCGGTGGTCCATGGTATGGCTGAGTATTGTACAATAGGTTTTATAATGCATGAAGCTGCCTGTGATATAGATACTTTACATTCTAGTGTATGAGGAATATGAACAAAAAAAAAAAAAAAGAAAAAAATTAGCTTTAAGTCTTCAGCAGAAGTTGAAATTCTTTGGGTAGAAGAAGAGTTAAAGTTTTACTTTTCATTAACTCTGTGGTATACGCTATTTCTTTGTAGCAACTTCTGTTTTCAATATTCTGTTAAAATGTACAGTATTTCAGAGATCCAAACGAGCGGTAGACCTTTCTTGAAAAAGATGAATGCTGTTGCTTTAACTGTTATCTGCATATTTCCTCACAGTGAAAAAAAGCCCGACGTTTTTAGATGTGAACACAGGACCCTTCATCAGGACCAACAGCTTTGCCGATGAGCTTGACCTGGAGGGTGAGACGCTGTTGACCCCAATAACTCACATCTCACAGTAAGTCAAGGCTATTGAATTGTGCACTAGTTGACTTAGACAAGAGAAGCCAATTCAGGTGGGAGGAGCTGAAATATGGAGCTGATAGGGCTATCTCAGATATTTGCGTCAAACTCTTTTTGCCTTGAAGTTGGTGTATACTGTTCTGAGTGCCAGTAAATCTTCGTGTTGACCTAAAGAAAAGTTCACTTGGCTGTGACACAAGGCTTTAGTTTTTAGCTAATGTCTCTGGGCAGGTGGTGGTTGATAGCCTCAAGATTTTCACATGGAGACAATGTGTGGGAGTACTTGCCTGTTGAGAATTATATTACTCCCTCCACCATTTTCTAGTGGAATAGCTGTAAAGTGCAAATTTTTAAATACTACTTATATGAAATACCAGCCTTTCCCTTTTAGTGGCACCTTCTCTAATGGTCAAATGATGATCTGCATTGGAAGAAAAGACCTGTTTTGACCTCTATTACTGCTTTGTGGTGTATAAAAATGATCTGAAATAGGCCTGTATTTTTTATTTTGTTGTTTTTTTCCTGTTAAAGGAAGATTTTCCACATGTCTTTTATGCTAAAATGTTATCTCCAGGTTCTCAGATTATTCTAAAGAATTGCAAAATATTTTTATTCAAATGCCTTTAAAAAGAAAAAATCTTCTGTCATTGTTTAATTCAAACTCCTGACAAATACTTATTATTTGCCATAGTAGATGTGTGACAGTATGTCCTCTAGCAGAGGAGTGAGACAATTTTTTCCCCTCCTGTTCCTAGAAATCTGAGGATTTCTGCAGTGAAACCACAGATGAGAATTCTTGGCATACTTGTGTTTCTGAGGTACAAAACATGCAGAAATGCCTGCTGCCAATTTTCAGGCCTTCTTCCTATACAGTATAAATAGCAGAGAAGCACGAACGTACTTTTTATAGCCACTTTAGAAGGGCATTTTTAAAAAAAAAGTAGGTTTGAGGGGGAGTCTTCCCTGCCCCCAAACAAAAGGACTTGCATTTTCAGCTGAATCATCTAAATGTACATGTATTTGTAGGCAGAGGATTTAGGAGACTTGTGTTCTGGAAGATTTCTTAGTGGTACAAGCAGGAGGAGGAAGTCATAAATTTCCTCAAGCCTTAGACAAGAACAACGGAGCAGCAAAACCAGATCTAGAAGTTTCCTTTGCACAGCCTTTTTTTAAACTTTAGTTTATCACAACATTGCAGGCTTTCTTTAAGAGAAATAAGCTTTGGTGCTAGGAGTTTTCATTATCCTTTTTGGATTTGGGAATGATTTAGTTATTTCTCATTGTCACCTTCATTGATACATTTCAAATAATAAGGTGCTCCATCACTTTTAAGTCCAACTTGTGTAACACTGAGGTTTTTTTTTTCTATGAACTACTTGTGGGAGACCTTAGGATATATGTAATGTGTATCAGCTGAAGAACCTTACCAAATTAACACCTTAGTCTTTTAGTAACTTATCTATTTATCTTTTACTTCCTTAATTTTTGGTTGTAACCTTTGTTGAAATCTCCCTAGATTGCTCTAGGCCATGAGTGATGGGATGGTACAAAAATGTCCCCATATAGGTCTTGAATTGAGTCTCTGCTAGGGTAGAAGAAAATGGAAGTCATTGTTTCTTTTAAGACTTTGGGTTTAGATTCAAAATTGGATAAATTGGATTAAATGCGAAACTGGATAAAATATTAATTGAAATGTGTCTCTTTGAAGCATGAGTGCCCAAATGTTGTAGAGCCTGAGAACTGTTCAGTTAGAAGTGCATTTACTTTGTATGCAGTTTATTAAAAGGCCTGAAACAATGCCAGATCAGCCTATTGGCAGAAAGTTAGTGAAAAACCTGTATTTTGTAATGTCAGTTGGAGTAGTGGCATTCAGGTAACAGATATTCCCAAATATTTTGAAAGGAAAAATATTCTAATGTTTCTTTACAGTTGGGTTGTGCATTCTGCTTGCATTTGAGGCAGTTGAAAAGCAAGCTGCTGTGCTCTGTTTCACTGGGTACCCGTGTTGCTGGATGCTGAAGATCAGTCAATTTCCATTAATTATTTAGACAAATGCTTCTTTTTCATTCTTCATTTCAAAGTCCTAGGGAGCAAATATTTATGAGCTCTTACTAGGACCTGCATGTTAGACATGTAGGCATACAATTAAGGATGAAATTTAGAATTGTGCAATGGATATATCTCTCTGTGCAAAGCCACGTACTAATTTTCTGTATAATAAAAGTGGTTAGTCATTTCAGATCTGTGTCTGTGTGTGTTTTTAATTCAGGCTTGAAAGTTATGCTGTGCCCGAGAGAATCTAAGATGAATTATTTTGTTCTGATGTCCCCAGTTGTGAAGCATTTTATTTCCTTAAAGCCATCATATATATAGTATGATCGCTCCAGGTTTGTTGATAAGGAAATAAGCACTCATATGCAAGTCTAAACCCAAGTACTTAACAAAAATACAGCACTAGCTGTGAAAACAAATTAGTATGGAAAAGTCAAATTAAGTGTAAATATTTCTAGTTTCACATCTTAAAAGCAATTCGTAGTCTATCAGAAGAACAGAAGCATGAAGATAGTTTCAGAAGTGGAAGCATAATATAAACCACTTGATCTAAGGATGCTTCGATTTGGGATTCATAGGAATATTTCCTGGTCAATTATATATTTATTGCAACATATGAATTAGCTTATCCATAAACCACAGAAAGGTGACTCCAGAATAAACATTAATTTTTGAAAGTCATAAATGCATGAGTAAATATTACATAGTTAATTGGAGACATGCAACTAGAAAGTTACTTTTAGTTGACAGTATGAAAAATATTTCCTTTTGAACAGGTAGTGTAAATCTGGCAGAACTGGAGGGTACCTACTGTGCTACTGACAGGCAAACACTTGGCATCGTTGTGGCTTAAAAAAAGAATGAGGCTAAGTTTGTTTCCTCACTTGCATTAGGTCATGGAAAGAAAATGCCATTTGTCAGCCCTTATGACAAAGGACTTTAGGCTTCTAGGCCTGAAGTCCCCTTTAAATTGAATTTCAGTGCCCTGCTTGTTTATGCAAAAATTATTCTCTTTTTGTAAATGTAAATGTAGGTGCATATTCTCAGTGAATTTAATAGGACCGGTTTTGTGTCTAATAATAAAAATGCACGTGTGGGGTTTTTTGCAGGACAATACTTCTGGCTGTATTTTATATCTGTTTTGAAATAAATATTGTACTAAATGTAGCCCTATTTCTGTGGAATTAGGAATGGGAAATCTTTCCTGTGGAAAGATTACTGTACCAGTTAATCATTTGTCACTACCGCTTTGAGGAAACAAAAATAATAATGGAAGCACTTTGAGACCTGATGTTCAAACAGGAAGGTGAAAAAATGTCATAGGAAAAACAGATTTGCAGCAGGTGCATGCAGAAGTATAGAATAAGGTAGCAGTGCATGGCAGAGCGACTGCACTTTTACTTCTACGTGAGAAGTCTTATAAGCAGAAGATGCAGATTCAAGCAGAGCTATCTGTGTAATTAGCTATTATGGATCTCGGCTATAAAATGAACTGTAACAGTTTGAAGAATGCAGTACACAGTGTGTTGTTTGAGATAAGACTCGGCTCTTCAATGGTTTGTTTAATGACTGTTGTGGTCTGTTCTGTTGTAAAAGTGAAATAGGAAACTAGACTGTAGCAATACCACACCTCTCCTTTGGAATTCTCACTCTTTTCTTTCTCTAATCAGCGCGTTCCTGTATTGTCTCCTGTTCCCTGTTTCACTTCGTTGGGTCTTTTGTTCTATTTGCATTTTAAAGCAGTGGAAAATCGATGCTACTTCTAGCTGAGCCTCAGCTACCAAGAGGTTCTTTCCCTGTGTTCGTATAATTGTTTCATTTCAGCACCCTTTTTAACTTTACGTTTGGCGTTAGCGGAAGCAGCAAGAGAAATGAACCGAGCTTCTTGGTTATTGTCTATATGGTCAAACTAACAATAATTCTTGATGTTTTAATGACTCTTCCCCACATGTTTCATGTACCTCTTTATTGGGGTGATGAAAATACATTCATTAGTTAAGGATTGATTTTGTCAGTAAACATATAAAGTAATCTTTCAATGCAGGCTTTCTTGCAATGGCATACTGCTGTGATCTTCTATTTAATACAGTAGGCTTACACTAAAATAAAGCATTAGATTAAAACCAAAAAGCACTTTCTTTTTCTTGTTAAGTGTATTTCCATCCTGAAAAAATTCTGTATTGTGACATCAGCTTTATCTTCTCTACTATCTCCGTCAGTGTCTCAGGTTGTGGTAGAGAGCCTTTTAGGCATCATGTTAGGAGTAAATGGGAGTCTCCGATGGTGGAGGTGTTTTTAGAAGTAAACCCTTCTTCATTAAACAGCATGATAGATGGAATAATTAAGCAAATAAATTTAGTGCTTTTTAATAATTTCCAGATTAAGAGGAAATAGTAACAGATGGATCTTTCTGAATGATTGAAATGAACGCTTTTGAACACTTTGAAATATAATTGAAATTATCGAAATGAAGTGTGCTGGTAAACACCGAGTGCAGTGTCCATGGTGCTGCAGTTACCACTGGCTTTTCTTGGAAATCATATTTTCTTTCTTTTTTTCTTTAAGATTTTTATTAAGTGTTCTATGTTTTAATTACCAGCATACAATCTGTTGGCATGAGATATAACCATATTGCCTAGAACAAACAGTGCTGAATGTGTTTTATAACTGTCTCTTTTCTGTTGGATTATCAGTGAGTGGAATCCCTGTTTGCTTTGATTTGCTAGCTTGTATTGTAAAAGATTCCTGCTTTTATCTTCCTCTTCTATACCAAAATGAGCCTCTGAAGTCTGAGCAAATATTTCTTTTTCATTCTTGAGTGGCCAGATGTAACGGCTGACTTCTGCTGTCACAAGAATTCGCTCTGAAACGCTGCTAACAATATTTAAACCGTGATTTGCATGGGGTCCATTTTATCATTAATGACAGGGCATGTTAGAAGAATAGC